GACATCCTTATGAACAAGAATTGGGGAGCCAGCATTAAGAACCCCAGAGGACTACAGACAATAGTGGAGTTGCCCAAATAAAAGGGGGGGCTATTGCTACCTAAAATGGAAAAGGAAAATGGACTGGACTGAAAACTTTTATTTGGTGGCTTGATCCTTTCAACCTTGAGGCAGAGGTTTCTGATGATTGGTCAGGAGCTTCACTGCTAATACGGGGCCTGCAGGCCTGTGGTGCTGGCATCTGGGCTGTGTTGGCATTAGTATCGCCTATCTTTTTCAGTTCTTTCTTCTTGTGCTTTTAAAACTAAATGTAGGTTTTCTTTGTAGATTTGCCTTGGAAACTAACATGATGCCATGGAGAGAGAACAGTTTGAAGTAAAAAAGCCCCAGGCAGGTCCTTGCTCCGTCATTGACTAGCCTTGTGATCTTTGGTAAGTTCCTAAGCTCTCCGAATCTTAGTTCCATCATCTGTAAAATAAAGATGCATTCTCCCTTACAAGGTTGCTGCAGAAAAAAGAGGAAATGTCTGTACAGTATAGTTGCTGCTTACTACAGATGTTCAATTATTACTGCAGGTGAGGGACCACTACCTTTGGGCACCCTTGAAGGACTGGAATCATGTCTAATGCTCAAGGTATTAGATCAAGGGCGGTGAGGATTAAAGAACAAAACATGGCTCCTCAGAGGACCTGAATAGACACATCTCTAAAGAGGACACACGGATGGCCAAAAGACATATGAGGAGATGCTCAACATCACTAATTATCAGAGAACTGCAAATTAAAACCACGATGAGATAGCACCCCATGGCTGTCAGAATGGCTAGCATCAATAAGTCAACAAACAACAAGTGTTGGTGAGGACGGGGAGAAAAGGGAACCCTTGTGCACTCTTTGCGGGAATGCAGATTGGAGCAGCCATTATGGAAAACAGTATGGAGTTTCCTCAAAAAAGTAAAAATAGAACTGTTTTATGACCCAGTAATTTCACTTCTGGGTATATATCTGAAGAATTCCAAAAAACACAAATTCAAAAGAATATATGCACCCCTATGTTCATTGCAGGATTATTTATAATAGCCAAGATATGAAGCAACCCAAGTGCCCACCAGTAGATGAGTAGATAACAAGTTGTGGTACACACACACACACACACACACACACACACACAAAATGAAATATTACTAGGCCATAAAAAAGAATGAAGTCTTACCGTTTGCAACAGCATCAATGGACCTAGAGGGTATTATGCTAAGTGAAGTAAGTCAGAGACAAATACCATATGATTTCACTTATATGTGGAATCTAAAGAGCAAAATAAACAAAATAGAAACAGACTCATAGAACAGGATGGTTGCCAGAGCGGGTGAGACAGGTTGAGGGGCTGAGTGAAAAAGGTAAAGCAATTAAGAACTACAAATTGGTAGTCACAAAATAGTCCAGGGAGTGTAAAATCTAACATAGGGAATATAGTCAATTACAATATTGTAATAACTATGTAAGACGTAGGTAGGTACTTGAAATATTGGGAGAACCCCTTTGTAAAGTACATGATTGTTTAACCACTATGCTGTACATCTGAAACTAATACAAAATAATATTGAATATAAACTGTAATTGAAAAACAATTAAAAACAAACAATAAAAACCATGACGCCTGCCCTCACTGGACGTATTAGTAAAGAAAGAAAAAGAAAAGAAAGGCTTTAAGAGGTAATGAGAAAGAAGTGATGAGAGCTCAAAGAAACTTGCCGTGTGCCGCGTGCCAGGAACTTGACCTATATTCTTCAACTAATGTTCAAACTGAACAGATTTAAGCACCAATTACTGTTGCAGAAAAAAACACCTTGACTGCCCAATTTTTGTAATGTGTTGCAAAAAGAACTTTTCAGGTATCCTGATAGGTCATGTCCTATATATGCAGAATGCCTGGCAACTCTATCTCCATCCCTCCCAACCCTATTTATATAAATAAGAAATTTTATTTAGTATTTCTGTTATACAATTGAGGAAATGGACTCAGAACCAAGTGACTTATTCAAGGCTACAGACAGAAATGGCAGAACTGGAAACCAAGCTCTAATCTCTCCAGTTCTAATGCCTGGAATCTTTACATTCACTTTTCCTAACACTGACCATGTAAGATTTAGGTTCCAGTTCCCGTTCAACCTGTAAAGCAGTGGTTCTCAACCTGTGGTTCGCGACCCCTTTGGGGGTCAAATGACCCTTTCTCAGGGGTCGCCTAAGACCATCAAAAAACACGTATTTCCAATGGTGATTCATAACAGTAGCAAAATTACAGTTATGAAGTAGCAACAAAAATAATTTTATGGTTGGGGGGTCAACACAACATGAGGAACTGTATTAAAGGGTCACGGCATTTGGAAGGTTGAGAACCACTGCTATTCCTGGCTTAGGTCAGTTTCTCTTTCTGCATTTCTGCTTCCTCTACACACCCAAGTTGGCTGAGCTTCTGTTCAGTTCTCTAGATTTCTGAAAACTACCCATGTAGTGATTCTCAGTGTGGCCCCTGGACCACCAGCATCATCACCTGGGAACTTGTTAAGAAAACATATTCATGGCCACACAGGACCTACTGAATCAGTCTCTGGAAATGGACCAGAAATCTGTTTTAACAGGTTTCAAAACCACAGACCTTCAGCATTCTAAAGGAATGCTATCATTACACCTTTTCTCACCAACCAAGTCTGACTCTCAATACATTCCTCCAGCTTTTATGGTCTTAGAAACTTGACACTATGACAGACTGAAAATGTCTACTCTTGGGTCCAAATACTTGATTACACTTCACCCTCTTCTCCAAAAGGACTAAGGTTACAATCCTTGCCAATACCAATCTATCCCAGCTTTGCCTCTTCCTAAATGCTATTTTTAAGTCAGTAAGAACTCTCCCCCGTCAGGATCTTTCATGCTTCATCCTTCCTTCACTTTCCCTTTAGTCATTCAATGCTCTATCCATCTTGTTAGAAAACTATTTCAACAATACCTACCACTCTCTTCACTCCACTTTCCACAAACATCACTCATTGTCTTCGCTGTCCTCAACAGGAGTCTATGGTCCAATGGAACCTCACTGACTCATTTGAATATGGCAACTCAACAGGGAGATTGAAGTTGACCTATTATGAACTATGGTTTGCTAAAAGAACTAATGTAAGTTTTTCCATCCAATAGAGCTCTCATCCCTTCAAGCACCTGAATTTCTCTGCATCATTATTACTGCATATATATTTAAACTTAAAAGTAGATTTAGCCCTGGCCAGTTTGGCTCAGCGGTTAGAGCGTCAGCCTGCGGTCCGGAGAGACCCGGGTTCGGTTCCCGCTAAGGGTACATACTTCGGTTGCACTTTGTCCCCGGCTCTGGTTGGTCGTGCGGGTGGAAGCCACTCGATGTGTCCCTTCACGTCGATGTTTTCTCACTCTCTCTCCCTCCCACTCTATCTGTACAAAAAATGGAAAAAATATCCTCGGGTGAGGATTAAAAAAAAAAAGTAGATTTAAACACCTTCCTCTAGAAACTAGGGAGAATCTGAAGAGAGTAATCTTCGGTGTATGTTCAAGATATGGCAGTCTTCTCTCCTCACTCAAGTACAAACAGAAACGAACAAGTTATGGTGTGATGTCATGAAATTTTAAGACAACTAAAACTATATGTAGGTCTAAGTGTTAAGCTCACCACCAAACGGTGATGAGGCTACATCAGAATCAGCTTGGGGAACTTGTGAAAAAATGTCCTGGAATTTATTTCCTAATTTTCAATTTCAGAATTGTTCAGGGAGGAACCAGTTAGTCCCAGGTGTTTCTAGCGCATTACAGATTTAAGAACGTCTGGGCCATTTTAACATAACAAGCACCATAGCACGAGCCAATTTAACACTATGCATGAAGATCCAGTTGAGTAGCTTCACACTGTCAGTGAAGCTGACACGAACACTTTACACAGGACTACACAAACATGCAGGAAAAGTAGGCCTCTCATTATAGCAATTGATGAGTGTTTACCATCTCATTGCCCGGTCTGCCAAGCACGTTCTAACTTGAATTATTGACTTTTCAAATTAAGCTCTATGGAGCAATGGTGAGGGGGTCAGTGCTGCTTCTACCAAATGCACAAGCCCAAGCATTTGTAACATCCATGTATCTATATACCACTGAAACAGAAGTACCCAGACATAATTTTCAGATATCCTGATAGTTTCTACTCTACATGTGGTATGGAGTGGGGTGAGAGTTGTTAATGCTGGTTCTGAACCACTAACGGGCTACAGTTCAATCTGAGAAAGTTCCTTTTGCCTCACTTCATAGGTTAAGAAAACACAAGTCTGCAGGTATGCCATTTCCCCATCTCAATTAGTTCTTTTCTTTTTTGTAAAGATTTTTTATTGATTTTTAGAGGGAGAAACATTGATGGGCTGCTTCCTTCATAACCCCCGCTCCCCCCCCCGCCCAACCACCACCAGGGATGAAGCCCACAATCTAGGCATGTGCCCTGACTGGGAATCGAACCAGCAACCTCTTGGTGCCTGGGATGATGCCCAACCAAGCCCCAAAGCCGCCAAAGCTCACTTAAACTTTCTGTGTGACCTTTCACTTACCAAATTCCTATCATAAATTCTTAATAACTCTCCACAGTATGACCCCAAATGATTCCCATCACCAAGGCTCTGCATCTTGTTGTAAACTAGCTTCCACCAAACCTCTCTTAAGTCCCATTGCCAAAGAAAGTGACCCATACACTTCCTCCTAAAGAGAGGGGAAAATTCCAAGAAAACAATTATAGATCACCTAGTACATATTCAATCAATTGGGTGGCAGGACCAGTAACACAGGAATGCTTGTTCTAGACATATAAGGAAAAACAGAGGACATATGGTCAAAGGATAGATGCACACTAAAAATCACGATTTTACACACATTTCTCTTGGCTGTAACAATTTAAATTAGGTTGCTTATAAGTAAGAATCATAATGAGCAGCACTATTAAACAACTTAATTCTCCATATTAGTGATTTTAGCTAAATATATGAACCTTCTAAGAAGGCTGCTAATAAAAACTTCACTTGCAAATGTTGATATAGTGTTAGAATTGAAAGCCACGATAAACTCCTTTGCATAGTTATTACCTCTGACCAAGGCATAAGAATTCACTTGGACAAATAGCTTTCATAACCTACCATAAAATAGGATAGTTCATAAATTTTCTAAACTTCTTTCCTGCTATTGGTTGCCCTGGATCTTTAACTGTAAAACCTAGTAAACTCTGGCATACTCTAATGCTAGTTTTATAAGTTACTAAAAACCTCTGAAAACGTAGCTTTATTTTTCAAATCTGGGCAGTTTCCTCATTCTGAATGCTTAAACATTTAGATCACACACTGAAATACCAGAAGAAAAACATTCATTTTTAGGAAGGTTGTATAGTTAACATGTGGCAAGGAAACTGATAAGAAATTTAAACATCCAGAGAATACAAATACTTCAGCATTATGAACTGTGAACTTAATTAGCACATTTTCCTAAATTGTAATAGTTCCAACTACAGGAAAACCGGACTGCTGTAAGGTTTGATATGATTTACATTGTCTCAAACTTTTCCCAATTCCTGACACCAACATTAAATTTATAGTTTTATTACAGTAACAAATACTCGTCACAGTGAGGTCTGCACACATATACAGAATTATTATATTTAAATTCATATAGAACAATATTTACATTTTTAAGTTACAACTTTGAAGTTAGAAGATGAAGTACAGCTTAAAGTTTAACAACAAAGAAAACAAAAATACACAAGACAAAAATAGAGTTGACAGTAAAAATATAACTATCTGTTCTTGATACAACATGTGAAAACTCTTTGTCAGAAAGCTACATCTTCTTAATCTGATTGTCCATATCATTAAAATATGGATGATTCAGGGCCATTTTGCCAGAAATTCGTTTGGCAGGATCGTATACTAACATTTTCTGGAGGGGAAAGATAAAAAGAAAAAAGTTTTTATTTAATTAAGAATTAAACCAGAAAAACAAAATAAAACAAACTTACATAAAGCCTGAACTTCTCTACTAGTAAGCAATAAGCTAATTTTATTGAAAATCTAAATGAACATTTCCATTAGTTTAGTACCAACCACATAAATGCCTCATCCACTATACTTCACCCTCTAGCTCTAGAATAACCTATTCCTTAAATTAGAGGTATCTCAATAACCTCTTTTTGCTATACATTATAGTTTAAGACATGAGCATTCAGAGATCACTTTAAAACCAAGACATACATTTAAAAAAATATATCTAATTAATTATATTTACTTTTTGAATTAAATGCCCATCATAGTGGTTTCTGATATAGCTTCCATCAAGTTCCAAATAAATACAAAACCAAAGTGCAATGTGTTATAAGCATAGTTAAAATAAGTCACTAAATGAATTAGTCAGATAATCTAGTATTAATTTATACATTACCAGAAAAAAATAGTTTAATATTGACCTTAACTTTTATCTTAAAGAAATAGTAATCTTAAAGAAAATCATATCAACATGCAGACAAGATACTTCTATTAGTTAGTTACCAGTTGAGTTCTTACTATGTATGTGCCACTATGAAGTGCTTTGCAAATATATTACTTAATCCTCACCAAAAAAAGGGCACATATTAGTCCCATTTTAAGACATGAAAGCTCAAAGAGGTTAAGTAATTTGCCCAAGTTCATAGAGTTAAGTGGTAATAAAGATAAACTTTAAAATCAAGTCTCATATTTGATCTACAGCAACGGTTGGGTGGACTGCCCTTCAGAGGACAGTCTGGAGACATTCTGGGTTGTAACAACTGGGTGGAAATGTGCTACTGGCACTCCTTACCGAGAGCAGATCCAAGCCATTTTCATCCAAGTTTTTGACCTGGGATGCTAGGCTTCCTGGTTTCCACTTGGGAAATGTATTCTTATAGTCCTGTAAAGACTCCACATCTGGCCACACTTCATTGTTAGGGGTACCCAAAGCTCTGAAAGCCATAGTAAAACAAAATATTATGAAAGCATACATATAATATTATTTTATTCACGTTGCCTTTAAAGTTCTTAACAGCTTAAGTAAAAAAAAATTTACCTGAAAATTCTGAAGAGTTGATCAATTTCTGAATCCCCGTGGAAAAGTGGTTTCTTAGTTGCTAATTCCGCAAATATGGTGCCTATACTCCAAATGTCAACTGGAGTTGAATAGCGAGCTGACCCCAGCAATACCTCTGGAGATCTATACCAAAGTGTTACCACCTATCACAAAACAAATTTTCACACTGGATAAATGTGGTACATTAAATTACATAAATGTACATTTATACTTCATTGGAACTGTCCTTTAGAAGGCTGTATGATTGCCTCTGATAATATTATTTTTGTTTAAAAATCAATTAACCATACACAAAATACTAAATGGGAAATAAATATTTCATTTCTAAGTTCTATTCATTAAGGAAGAAAACAATAGATAAAAGCATATCACGTCTTTTCTTGCTTTTCAAATTATTCAAGTGCGGATCAAAAAAGTTAAGATCGACTTAATGCTTCCAAAAAAAAAAAACAAAAAGCAAGTGCCCATTTGATCATGGGTAATGGATTTGGGGGTGATAGAGAATTGCATGTACTACTTATGTGCTATAAAACATGAGTAAGTCACATAACAGTTTATTAGTGGTCTAGAGCTGACCTATTATTTTAGTATACGTAATTTATCACAATGGTAACAAAATCACCTCTAACTTAAAGTCAATGAGGTCAATAGCATCAGCCATGGGAAAATGATATAAAGAGATTATAAAAAGAAGCCAAGACATCCAACCAGTTGAACACTGCTTTAAGTTTTCATCTAGGGACAGTCTTTGGGCTCAAGGGTAGACAACCCCCAATACAGACATGTGCTGTATATACCATCCGTCAAGGACGGATGGTATATACAATGGTGATCACATTAAGATTATAGTGGAGTTAAAAAAGTCCTATCGCCTAGAAGTCATAGACATCCTAATGTCGCAGTGCAACACTACGCTTTAAAAAAAATAATTTAATGAGGCCTAAGTAACATCCAAGGCCTTCACATTTCACTCGCCACTCACTGACCCACCCAGAACAACTTTCAATCCTGAAAGCTCTTTAAGTGCCTTATACAGGTGAACCATTTAAAAATTTGTATAGCCCATTTCTACTGTGCCTTTTCTATGTTTAGACACATACTACTATGTTATAACTGACTACAGTATTCAGTATAGTAACATACTGTACAGGTTTGTAGCCTAGGTGCAATAGGTTATACCATATAGCCTAAAAATATAGTACGTTTCACCATCTAGGTTTGTGTAAATGCACTCTATGATGTTTGCACAATGACAGAATAGCCTACAGATGCATTTCTCAGAACATATCCCAGACATTAAGCAACACACGACTATAATCCTATACTACACAATTCAACATTCCCTTTCCCTCCAGAAATAACAAATGAAATGCCAAGTCATTAATATAACACTGATGAAACATGATTATATGCAGTAGCTCCTAACAGTACTATCTGAAACAGTACCCCTTAAGCAACAAAACCTGTCTTTTAACCAATTTGACTGTGTATAAGAGCATCCAACAGGGAGACAGAAACCACCTGGTGACTGAACGGGGAAAGTTTAATATAAAGGATTATTAACTAGAACAGGGGATTGGAATAATCAGAGACTGACTAGAAAAAAATAATTAGAACTCTAAAAACTGTAGCAAGGAAAACACCCCTTCTTCCTGCAATGCTTTTCCAGCACCCTCTATTGACAAAGCATAATATCTCATTAGCCAGCAAAGGAAAAATACTGAAAGATTCTAGTTCCTCATGTGTCTCTTAGCCATTTATATGTCCTGTTTGGAGAGGTGTCTATTTAGCTCCTCTGCCCATTTTTTAATTGGGTTCTTTGTCTTCCTTTTGTGGAGTTGTATGAGCACTCTCTATATATTGGAAGATCTCTTATCCTTTGAGACTACATGGAGGGACCTGGAAAATATCATCCTAAGTGAAATAAGCCAAACAGAGAAAGACAAGTATCATATGACCTCACTTATTTGTGGAATATAATGAACATAACAGTCTGAGGAATGGGGTAGTCCCAGAGACGTGGAAGTGGGGTACAGACTGACAATCCCCAGAAGAGGGGGTGGTGGGGGAGAGATAAACCACAGAACTTATATGCATGTGTGCATGAACAGTGGACATGGACAACAAACTGGGAACAGGGCAGGGAGGGAGAGGGAGGGGGGAATCAGTGGGGGAAAAAGGAGAGAAACATCTGTAACAAAAACTAATTAAGAAAAAATAAATTAATTTAAAAAAAAAGATCTAGTTCCATTTTTACATAGCATGCAATAAAGGGTGAATTCAGAGCTGAGGCAATAAACAGATGAATGGAAATCTTTTTTGGGCACTTCTTTCTTGACTTAAAGACAATCCAGAAATCACATATTCATATGCACCAAAAACACACGATTCTACATACCTCATGTGTATATACTCTAATAGGTATTCCAAAAGCTCGGGCAAGGCCAAAATCAGCCAGTTTAATTGTTCCTTTGTCATCAATCAACAGATTTTGAGGTTTTAAGTCTCTGTGTAGAACTCTTCGAGAATGACAAAACACAATCCCTTGTAGGATTTGGTACAAGTAACTCTGGAAGATGAGAATATGATGGAAGCTTAACTGTATAGCACATAATGATTTTCTAAACTTTGGTGAGTTTATTTCAAGGAAAGAAAAAATTATAATACAGGGAAATAATTTAACTACCAAACAACTTTTAGGCCATTTAAGATGAACCAGAAACAACTGAAGGTGGAAAAGCCCATTTTTATACAATTTGTCATATTTGTACACCTAAGGCAAAGATATTCACCTCATGCATACACCTATATCCATATGAAGTCATTTTGTCTTCTTTTACTTATTTTTTGGACCCTCCTTCAAGTCATAAGTTAGTTTTCTGTAGAGAAAGCTTCTTAAACTTTTGCTCTGTAATTCTATTTCTATCTTGAATAGAATTGGTCTTTTTCATTTCTATCTTTTATCTTTATGTATTTATTTCTTCATTGGTCGAATTCAAAAGAAATGACAGAGAATATTATGCTTATGTTTAAATAGACACAATCAATGATCAGAAGAAGCTGTTTAGTAGTTCAGAGGTGTTTTATAAGACACCTGAAGGAGTGCTTTGCTCAAGCTGGTATAAGGATAAGATACTTTTACTTTATACACTTCACTAATTTTAAACAATCGTGTATACATTTATAGTTTAACAGATCATGTCTACAATAAATTAATCAAAACACATTCAAAATCAGGAAAAATAAAACCTCCTGCCACCACCACCTTGCCCTAGGCGTTTGCTATTTTGTTTTACGTGTCCGATAGTCAAATTAAGAGCAGAATATCTTAGTTTCCAACAATGGAATACATACTTATTAGTCTTATGTTATCTAGGACACTACTTTTCACTTTATAATTAGAAGCACTATCTAGTAATAAAAGAGTAACTGCTAACAATCTAATCTCTAGACTGTGGGAGGAAAATATTCTTTTTTCCCTCATTCTACTTTCTAACCTTTTCAAAGCATACTCCCACAAAACACAGGCACTTACACAGAGTAGCTTCTTTACATTCACAGTGAATAAATACTAATAAAATGAGGCAAGCTTCTTACCTTAACAAGTGAAGAATCCATGAACTGACCAGGAGGGATAGAATCCAAGTATTTCTTTAGATCCATGGAAAGGTATTCAAAGATGAGATATAACCTGGAATCCTGCATGAGCACATCTTGAAGACTACAAACATAAAACAATTATATTTTAAAAATTAAACATCTTTTACCTCTCTCATAAAATAACTTCCCCTAAATTTCAGTGACTATTAGAGTATTTTCTATATTTTACACAGTATGGAAACCATACCTAAAATACATAGTTTTGGGAAAGAGAATGGTAGCTTCTCTGGTAGTGAAAACATTCCCTAGTAATACTAAACAAGAATTTGAGAAAGAAACCTTAGGGTAGCAATTGACAATTAAGTTGTATTATACAGGAGTTGCTAACTGTCAAACCATTTATATTCCAAAACATTTCCAGGCTGACTGCTTGTTGTGCAGAGCTTATCTTTCCATTGAGGTAAATTATAGAAACAAATTTTATAGTACCTGACCTGAATAGTTGCTCACGATCTCCAGCCCCCACAAATTCAATGAAATACTAACTTGGACCTTTAGAAAAACCCACCCCAAAACACCAGCCCATATTTAAAAAGGGAGAAAGAAAAAAAACTTATTTTTCATCTGACCTGGCTGCGTCCTAGGACTCTGATTACGGGATATGTAAGAACCAGAGCTGAGTAAGCTGACAAAGCTCAGTGAAAAGGTGTTACACCCTCATCACTTCCAGAGCCAGTTTACCTGGATTTTTCAGCACCAAATACTAATCTCTATGACCAAGCTCCTCGAACTCTGTTCCTGCTTTATCAGCCTATTTTCCTATGCCCAGCGTTCTCAATGAACAAAAATAGTAGGGTTCTATTACACTCTGTAAGGTTACACAAAAATTAAGCAAATGTAAAAATTTCCACATTGAAATGCACATTTAAAATAGTATGCGGAAAATGGTTTAAATCCAGATATTATACCATACCTGACTATATTAGGATGACGAAGTTCTTTTAATAGAGAAATTTCCCGAATTGCAGTGCTAGGAACCCCTTCCTCTTCACTTTCTAGTCTGATTTTCTTCATGGCTACCACTTGACCTGTAGTTTTGTGTCTACCCTTATATACAACTCCATAGGTACCTGAAATAGACAAAGTAAATGTCTGCTATGTGACACCTCTCCACAAACTAAACAAGAGTTTAAAAAAATGATTGAATCCCATTAGGTGTCACATGATAGAAATGTCTGCTGTGTCCAGATAGGAATTATCTTACCCATAATTATACACTCATCACTTACAAAAAGAAATTGAGGATAACTACAACCTATCGCTTCTATAATTGAAAAATAAAATTTATGTAGTCATCACAGGTTTTGCATACATTAAAATTACCAGTAATCTTCCAGCACATTAAAATAAAAAAAATAAAAAAGACACTTTGCAAATTGAAATTTATCTCCTGTCAAATATCCTGCCAAAAAATAAAATAGGAATAAAATACAATGTAAAGATTTGGGCTAACAAATCACTTCCAGACAACTCTGTAAATGGTGCTTTACACATTTCAAATAACCCTCATCCAGAAAAGAATGGGAATAAACTATTTTATTAAATATTTATTAATTCTAATAAAGGTTACATTATTTACTACAAAACAGAAAAGCTCATCCATTTAGAAGTTGATGAAAACCCTGATTCTGATACTTGGGCTACAGATAATAAGCAACAATGTCAATATAAAGGATCTGGGAATGGAAATGGCAGTAATAAGGGAGCTGGACTATTTAGCTAAATCAAGTTCATATACAAGATATACTCATTCCCTTAGACAAGCACTTTCTAAATTGGGGTTGGGAAATTTAGGGAAGTCTTAACCCACTTTATTATATATAAAATTTTGTCACAGAGTTTTTGTTATTTTTTCTGAAATCAGTATAATTTCAAAAGTGAGTGCATTTTTCTAAGGAGAACTTCTATTCTATAGCTTTTATCAGTTTCTCCAAAGATAGAAAAAGTATTTCAAAAAAGGCTAAGAACCATTAACAAATTACCTGCCTTAGACATGCTAATCAAACTATTTTTAACTCAGCAGCAAAATTACTATAGTTGAATGGATGTAATAAAATGTTTGTTTTTGGTTTTTTTTGTTTGTTTGTTTGTTTTCAGAAAAAGAATCATATAAAATTTTTACGTTAAAAGAGAGAATATATCTCCAACTCTTCCACCACCCAAACCTGTCATTTCTATCTTACTAGATTCCTCCCAGTATTCCTTCCTTGGCTTTCTAGCAGTATTCCTTATACAGGAAGGGTTTTGGAGTACACTAAAAATATAGCTGAAAAGGTTTCTCAAACAGAACATACATAAATTGGACTCAAGTAGCAATTATTTTATATAAGCTGTATTATTTGTCCCTGAAGAGTTTAGAATGTCAATATCAAGACTCATATATAAAACAGTATATTCTGTTGGGGGCGGGGGGACTAGCCAAAGGGATATATTTTTTTAAATTGTTCTTTCCTTTATTGACTTTGAGAGGAAGGGAGAGGGAGAGAGAGATAGAAACATCAATGAGAGAGAACATCAATTGCCGGAATCCTGCATGCCCCCCACTGGGGACTGGCCCACAATCTGGGCATGTGCCCTGACTGGGAATCGAACCAGTGACCTCTTGGTGCATGGGCTGATGCTTAAACACTGAGTCACACTGGCTGGGCCAAAGGGATATTTTTATCCTTCATTATACTATATAAACATTAGATATAAACATTCTTTAAAAAACTCTAATGAAATTACTACAGATAGGGAACGAATGATTACATATTATTGGTTTTAGAATAACTTAAACATGTACATATGACAGATCATTTCAACCTAGGGTAACTAAATAGAAAATTGATTTAAATTAGTTTAATGGTCAATCAGTGAAACCAATTCAGACAATTTAAGTAAAAATATTTATCATCTTGAAAATAATTGTAGGCAACTAAAAGTGTATTATGAAACTTAACATAATTCTACTGCCCTCATTTCTCCCCCAACACATATGCAAGACATCAATAATCTTATTAAAATAGAATTATTGTTTTAATTGTTTAGTATTAGAATATAAGATTATTGAGAAGGGAGGCTGTCAAGGAGCCAATCAGAATAATTACAATTCTCTTGATTTTGTGTTTAAGTTATTATGTAAAGAACATATATTAATGTATATTAGTAGTGTAAGATACTTTAAAGGTTGCATTTTAATAAATATTTACATGTTTTCATGTCACAGATGTTATAGCATCATTAAACAATTTAAAACTTTTAGATGAGAAAGCACCCACCTTCTCCAATTTTCTCTATTTTGGTATAGTCATCCATAGTCAATCAATAGTTATGGCAGATGCTAAAATGAGAAGAAAAAATTATCTGCTTATATGCCACTAATTCAAAGGGTGGTTTTAAGTTATTAATGAGATACTAGATATAAAGCATTTTCCAGTCTAGTGCAGTTTTAATTTCCCATAAATATTAGTTAATATAATAAAACAATATTTATAAGGGAAAAGACTCATGCAATAAGACTTTCCACCACATTTTTTTAGTTCCTTAAACATTGGAAATATTTGTATAACTTATATCCTATACCAGTGACTTAGCTTCTTCCAATCAAATATAACTTCAAATTCGGTCATCAATTTATCTATCCTTTCCAAACAAAAGCCAGAAGTATGTTTTCTTCCAGGGCACTTCTAAGGAGCACCACTGTGTGCCAGTTATACTCAGATATTTCAACAAATAATGTTCTTTGAATTCTTACTGCTTTATGATTTAATTTTAAGACATCAGTAGGGAGCTAAAATGTGATTACGCTGCTCATCTATTAGAAAAATTGTTAAAAGCCATGTGCTTAAACTTGCTTAAATGACAGTTTTCATCTTTCTTTTGTTTTTCGAAGTCGCATACACACACATGATCAAGACTTTCAAGGCACTATTTGAAGGAGTAGGTGCAATTCCACAGATGGAATTCTAATTATACCTTATACAATCTTAAGAGCAAAGTGAAAAAACCAAACCAAATCAAGCAAATACTTGAATCACAAAGAATGGTTTAAAAAAAAAGGTTGAAATGCTGACAACCACTCAAGACTGCCTCAGCACATCTGCCAATGAAACTGGACAATCAAGGTAATTATGCTTTGGGCTTCTAACACACCCATCACTGACAAAGGTCGCTCGAAGTAATTGTCCCTTCGGTTCCATTTCTCACATTCATCTTCAACATCCTTCCGGAAATAAGTAGACATACATCATCTCTATAAATCAACAAAATCGGACTACACCGGTCACGAGGGCCAATCTTGCCCAATAAAACTGTCGAGCTCACTTCGAACAAAGAGCTGAAAACGAACGCAATTTCAGTGCTGGGTGAAAGGACCCGTCCTCACTTTTCCTGCTGTAACGCTTTTAAATCAAGGCCGGGCTGCGGGCTCCGCAGTGCCTCCTAGGGCTCTGGACCACCAACTGCAGCACGCAAAACACCGGTGGCTCACCCTACCCAGGCACTTCCAGGTCTTCGGAAGGATGTCGTGCACATCAGCATTAAATAAAAAGTCATTGGAGGATATGAAAACTCACATGTATATCGGCATTTCTTAGTTCGCCACTTCTTGCTAATTCCATAGTATATAACATTACCACCAAGCAGAAAATAAAAACGAAAAGAATCCAAGTTCCCTCTGGCCGTGCCTCGGCTGCATGTTCTTAAAAGCTCTAGGTGGGTGGGTGGGCAAGGCCACGGGACCTGTTTCCGCGAGGCCTGGACCTCGGCCCCGCGCGGTCTGCTTCCCACCCCGAGCCGGGCGCACAAAGGCCCTGGGGCCGACCTGGCACCCGAGCGCTCGGCGGCCGAGACAAAGCGCGGCCTTGGCCTCATCGTGACCCGAAAGCCGCCTTGGCCAGGTGGGCGGCCTCTTCCTGACAACAGCCGGCCGCGACCCCAGACCTCAGCTCGGAGGCCAGGGCAGCCCGCCCTCCCCAGAGTGACCCCGGCAGCCCTGAGCTCCCGGACTCCCTCTCCTGTCGCTCCACGCTCAGCCCCGGACCCCACAGGAAGGCGGCGGTGCAGCCTCCAGGGGCCGGCCTGCCCCCACCCCAGCTGCCAGCGAGCTCCCCAACTACCGCCCGCTTCCTCGGTACGCCCCTCCGAGTCACCCGGGCCGCCCCTGTCGACTCCACAGGCATGACCCCGACCCCGGCACGTCTACCCGGCAAGTGACCCCGCGGCGAGAGCGGCGGCGGCGGCTACGACGTCGGCGTCGCTCTTCCTTTAACTTCCCAGATCCAGCTTTGAAACGAAGTGCGAGCAGTTTCAAAATCACCGCGCTAAAGGCTCCCGGGTCCACCAATCAGGTGGCCCGTAGACTTTCAAAGGAGCCAATCAGAGCCCAGTCACGCCTGGGCTGGGCTTCTTGGGTGGCTAGAGCGCGAAAGAAAAGGAAAACGGCGGCTGCAGAAAAAGCAGGAGGGCGGGCGCCAACTGAGTCTGCGCGCAAGCGCTGACTGTTCTCCCGGGAGAGCGTCGTCCTACTGTTTCTAGTCACCAGGAATCTACTTTTCGTTTTGGGTTGTTTTTTTTCCCCCACCCGCCAATATTAGCACAATTAAAATTTAGTATACACAAATAACTCATCACAAAAATGATACTATACTTGCGTCCAGATTCCATTATTTTCGCTTTTAATGCTTAAAGCTCGTGAATATTTATGTTTTTCTAAATGGATGACTTTCGGGCATACTTCAGTTACCTTAAGAAGATTATGGAACCAAAAAACCCATGTACACAACACAAGACACAGGCAACAGCGTGGTGATAGAGGGAGATGGGGGTGGGAGGGTAGGTGGAGGCGGGCAAAGGCGGGGAAATGAGGACGGAAAGAGACTTTGGGGCGATAGGCACATGACACGGTGTACAGGAGATGTTTTATTGAGTTGTACACTTGAATGCTGTATGATTTTGCGAACCAAGATCACCCCCAATAAATTCAAGTAAAAAAAAAAGGGAGAAGATAAAGGAAAAGTGAGTTTTTTACCTCACTTTTTATTATTTTAAAATTTTACTTATTTAAAAATTAAAAACAAAATTTTACAATTTGTAAATTTTAAAATATTTTCACATCAGTATTTCAAATGTCCTTTAAAACAACAAAAATCACAATTCTATAAGAAAAAGAAATGTAAATTATACTTTAAATAACCCAGTATCAAACACTCTCTCTTTCATTGCCCTCTACCATATCCTTAAGATTTCTGCACTTGAACATCATTCTTAAATTTTGAAGAAAATAAAAGAGTAAAATAGAACTACAGATAATAGGAGTCTCCTAGTAAGAATTTCTCTCTGCACTGACCCTAAAGGGATGCAGAACAAGGTTGATTACAATGACCTGTACAAATATGTACTATATTAGATGGCCCAGATTAGGATAAGGAGTAGAGCTAGTATATCACATGCATTTAAGTGTTTAATACTTTTTTTTCTTTATTGATTTTAGAGAGAGAGGAAGTGACAGAGATAGAAACATCGATGAAAGAGAACATCAATCCTCCGCCTCCTGTATGGCCCCTGCTGGGGATTGGGCCCCCAACCTGGGCATGTGTCCTGACTGGGAATCGAACCAGTAACCTCTTTGTGCGGGGGGTCGATGCTCAACCACTGAGCCACACTGGCCGGACTGTTTAATACTTTTTTACACAATGGGTAGCATCTGTCATCTGGCCAAACAATTTATGCTCCTAGGTGATGGGGCAGAGCATTCATAGTGGAGGTAGGGATTTGGAAAATCTCTGTCTGAACCTAATAACTTTTAAAACTTACTTTTAAAATCCCAAATTCACAATTTAAATAAAACCTGACTACTCCAGAGAACTGCTCTAGGAAAGAAGACTGTTGCTGATAGTTTAAGGTACTGACTTTAATGAACGAATATATATACTTATCTTTCTCTCTGGGAGGCCTAAGCCACAGATTTAATTTATATCATCTAAAAACAGGCAGTAATTCATTATATCCACTTTATGTTCAACATAAAGAAGACCACAAGCTTCCACAGCTGTGATACTAGATTTTAAAATTTAATTCAATTGTCTTTGTTTTTGAAGTCTCCAGGGTTATTGTAAATTCATGCAACAGTTTATTACGCTGTGGGCCCACTTGTATTCAGTGTCCCTAAAGTGCAATGCTGTGTTTTATAGGCAGAAAAATGAATCAGATCCAATTCCTGTTGTAGGTGTAGGGTAGGAAAACATAATGGTTACTTAGAATTCTCTTCTGGCACTTATGTTGTAACATGCTATAAGTAGTATGAGAATATAGAGGAGGAAATTACTAATTTAAACAGAGCAAGTTACATTTGAACAGACACCAGAGAAAAAATTGTGGGGGTGTGCCTTCGAAGCTGAGGAAATGGCATGGGGAAAGCCCTAAGAGTCTGCCCAGGTAATCAGAATCCTCCATCGCAGGATGCAGGAGGTCTGGGGGGTTAAGCAGGGAAGAGAGCTTGAAGTCAGAATCTTGAAGAGCACTGAATACTGTTGTAAGGGGGCTGCTCAGGAGAGGTACAGCCTTGGGACCACATTTTAGAACTACTCTAGAGGTGACATGAAAAAAGAACTGAAGAAGTGAGGGTGGAAAGGAACGTGCTCCAAAATATTTCACATTTATATTCTGGAAAACTCCATTTAGAAGGAAAAGGAGCCCTGGCCAGTCTTGCTCAGCGGTTAGAGCATCAGCCTGAGGACCAGAGAGACCCGGGTTCGGTTCCCACTAAGGACACATACCTTGGTTGCAGTTTGCCCCCAGTTCCGGTTGGGGTTGTGTGGGTGGCAGCCACTCAATGTGTCTCTCTCACATCGATGTTTCTCTCTCTCTCTTCCTCCCTCTCTCTCTCCCGCTCCATCTGAAGATAAATGTAAAAAATGTCCTCAGGTGAGGATAGGAAAAAAAGAAAAAGAAGAGCAAAGGAAAGATCAGTTGGGACAGCACACAAAGTTTTTGTTTTGTTTTGTTTTTAGACGTAAGTGTTGCTGTGGACTGAATTATGCACACCTACCTCCCAGCCAAGAAATTCATATATTGAAGCCCCAACCCTTAAAGTGATGATATTTAAAATTTTTTTCTTTATTGATATTAGAGAGAGAGAGATAAAGGGAGAGGGAGAGAGAGAGAGAAACATGGATGAGAGAGAACATTGATTGGCTGCCTCCTGCATGCCCCCCTGAGGATTTGGCCCGCAACCTGCATCCTGACTGGGAATCAAACTGGCAACTTCCTGGTGCATGGGTTGACGCTCAACCACTGAACCACACCAGCCAGCCTAAAGTGATGATATCTAGAGATAGGGGTCTTTGG